CTCGACCGCCAAAGCCACCTCGAGCGCTCTTATACACCTAAAAACAAGTTCAATCATTTTCGGCGCAAATCGGCGACGGGGGGGGGGCATTTTGCATTTTCGCTACTCCTGCCGACGTGTCGAGCTATCTAGAGAGCTATTTCATGAGCTTACAAGAGTTGACAAGTTCCTACCATGGTGGCTCGACGAGCTCACTCCAGCTTCACAGAAGTTCACAGCTTCCACCGGAATGAGATTTCTTAACCGGAATTAGTGGAGTGGCAAAAGTGCAGTGTGCCCCCCCCCCTCCTGTCTGCCGAAGTGCCCCCCCCCCATTTTCTAATGTCATCGGGACGTTCCGCGCTTATCAATGGCACGTGCCGGTTGAACCGCTTATCTTCCTAGTCATTAAACGGACTCGGAAATGCTAGCAGAAGGAATGCCAAGGAGACGGCAAATCAATACGGCGACATGACTATGTGAAACAATTTCCTTGATTATGGCTCAGTTGTTCCGCTCAGTATCCCCTGGAGGGCACAAATGAGCACAGACGGTTCGTTTTTTAGGCTATTCACTAAGAACTGGCCAAATGGATACAGTACTCACCACTTTCTTCTCTTTAAAATCGATTCCTACAGTGGAAATGAACTGACCAGTGAAGGTGTTGTCAGTGTATCGATGCTGAAAAGAAGCAGATATCAGACAAGGTTCACCTGAAAGGAGGGGCAAGCTCACCAAGAAGGATGTCTTTCCCACACCCGAGTCCCCGAGGGCCAAGAACTTGATGAGGTAGTCGTAGTCGCCCATCGAAGATCACTGCTGGTGCCACTGCCGTCGGCTGGCTGCTGTGGTCGTGGTGGTCGTGCTACCGCTGCTGCTAGACGGGCAGATTTGGCCTGAGCTGCTCCTTTCTAACGGCTCTAGGGGCAAGCTGCTGCTGTTGCTGGGTGTGTGTGAGTGTGGCTGAATCGATTTCCACCCTTCTGCAGCACACACACCAAGATAATTCGTCATGCCACGCCTCCAGAAATGGAAGATCGGCGAGGTGGCGAGACACCGACGGGAAGCGCTTTATGATGCTTTTGATGAGCAGCATAGGCGATTAGACCTCTGTAACTACTATGTTGATGCATTACTAGAAAGTCAAAAACTACAATTTCACCTACTGCTGAACCTGGAATTATTCGAGGCTTTCCGCTAATTCTTGGGTTTTTCTTGGGCTATCGCAGTGTTCGACTCTTTCCGTTAGGTCACAGCATGAGCAGCGAAGCAGCAAGAGGCGCTGAAGTCATTTGGATGTTTCTGTTTAGTAGTTAGCTCGGCAGTTGGTAACGAGCATACAATGTCCTCCGTCCTTCTGAGATTAGCTCAAAGACGTCGAAGGAAATTTGAAAGTTGCTGAGAATGGCGAAGACCAGCCTCTGTTTCACCTGGTTTTGGCTGCTGCCAATCGTTGTTAGCACCATTTTACGGCGCAGTGTGCCGACGTGGGGGGGGGGCATTTTGCACTTTCGTTGCTTCACTCTGGTGAAACCTGTGAACTCTTGTGAAGCTGGAGCAAGCTCGTCAAGCCATCATGGTAAAACCTGTCAACTCGAGAAGAGGCTGTCTAGATGGGTCGACACGTCGATGGGAAGTCGTTAAAGTGCAAAATGCCCCCCCCCGTCGCCAAACAGCGCCCCATTTTACTCCTGAAAACTTTTTCCAAAGCCCTATGGAATGTCCCTGGTCAGGGATTATTAGCCTTTGGGTAAGGAGCTTTGGCCAGGACATCCCATGAAGCTCTGAGTGGTGCAACCTACTGTAGTGAAGAACTTTGAACAAGCCAAACACACTTTCCAGTTTTGGCAGATTTCGTTCGTGCATTGGAATTTTCTTCTTGCCGATTAAGATTACGCTTATAACATTGCGGGAGGGACACTAAAGGACTCCTGGTGCAGAACCGGAATTACCGTAGTGAAGATGAGGAGTCTCAGTAAAGTCTCAATAAACGAGGGAGTTCTGTTGTGGTGACGTAAGGCCCAGTTCCGGACAAATATTCCTTCAAATACAGACCGTACGCTCACCACGGTGGATCCTCGGCTCTGCTATGTGTGAGGAGAAGGGGATCGCAGGTGCAATAGCGGGCCACTTTCCCCGGTCAAAAGTGCATGGAAACGGGGCTGAAAGGCAGACCCGGGTCTCATACACCGCCGTACTGCTGCACGGTCAGCCACACGCCTAAGCACAGCCGACCGCGCTACTTGTCTGCGCCCTCTCACTTTTAGTTGTTCTCCACTGCTGAGTGCGTGCTTCATTGCGGGACCTTGGTATCGGCATAAGTGCTGCACACTAAGCACAGCGCCGGCGGAGTCTTGCGGGTAACACTACCCTAGAGCTCAACTTTCGTGCACTTTTGAGCGGGAAAGTGCTGCGGGTGCGACCCATTTGCCTCGCACATGAAAAGTACCTTCCTCGGAGCTCGTCTTTGGAAGGCATATTGCGCGAAACTCCGTCATAAAGTTTGTAAGTGCAGTTCGTAGAGTAAAAGGCAGTTGGCACGATAATTTGGTACTCGGCCTAAAATGTTAGCAAGTCCCTATATAGTGGGAAAATGGCGAAAAAACGAAGTGAAACGGTCAAAAACCTGCGAAGAAAAGCCTTCGTTCTTAATGACTCAAAAAGCAATTTCGGACGAGTTTCCCGTAGGCATCTTGCCAATAACCGCTACGGTAGGTACGGCTGCACGTATGTACTCATATATCCATGCAGCACCGCAGCCGCTTCATACCAATCCCTTCGCTTCATATTTTACTTAGCAAATGAAGCAATACGAGCATCAGGTACGGTCGTCCATTTGTGGGCGGCGGGCGCGGTGGGCGTTCAGGTCGGTATGTTGTAGCTTGATAGGGCCTTGAGGGTACCTTCCATGGGAAAGGCGTTACACAGCGCCTGCTCAGGGAGGCGCATTTCCGTTTTGCCAGGCGTACTTATGGTAATTTCTCTTAGGGATTTATCGTGCCAACTGCCTTTAAATAGCAGACCATTCCTCGATAAGAATGGCGGAGCTACCATTGAAAACATCTCAAAGGGCTTTCCTTACTCTAAGGTGGTGGCAGTGAGTTCGTGGAGATTTCAGGTGAGAAATCAACAACAACAGCGAAATAGTGTGGAAACGAGCAGGACAACAGATGAAGCGACAAGTGCAGTTGATATAGTCGCAATCTGAGAGAAGAAATTC